GATGATCGGCGCTACGCAACCAAGACATGCCTAGAATCATGTCGAACTTGGTGTCGAGGATGTCAAAAGACACCGGCTCGCACGCAAGTGGCGCAAAGTAGACCGGAACGCCGTCAACGCATCRGTCAATTGACTTTTGCGTGCRGYCGTCYGCGAGTGTAACTTGCGTAGGTWGCGTCTTCCTTCGAACGCGCAGGCCAAGACCTGCGCGGGCCATAAAGGCTTGACTCATGAAGTTGCGAGACGCTCCGCAATCAATCAAGGCACTACAGGTTGCCTTTCCGATTTGAATGCGGATATAGAGCAAAGGTGCGTCGGTTTCGGCGTACCTTTGGGTGGCGTGCTCGCGGTCGATCTTCGCAAGATAGGAGCCGAGATCGGCAACCGCTACCCCGTCGTCCGTCAACGGAGCTGGTACTGTAGTGTGCAAGTAGAAGCGTAGATTTGCCATCAAGGCGTTGCAATGCGGCCTTGGCAATGTTCCGGTCGAGGGTAGAGGTATCCAAGCGAAATTCTCTCTCGTGAGCGGGTCAAGCTCCTCAAGTCTTGACCATGCCGTCGAGTCCTCGAAAATCAGTGGCGAACTGACCGGATCACTTGCCGACGGTGTACAGGCTGCGCATACGCTAGCTAAGTGCACGTGGCTTGGCTGGTCTAATGGTGGTACCAACTGGGCGGCATAATCGTCGTACGTGGCACGAGAATCAGCGACTAACGCATGCTCCCCGGTAGTGACATCGATTGCTAGCAAGGCAACCGGGTCCGGCGGAGTGAGGAGAGACGTCGCCCCTCTCCTTGCGTAACTCAGTTTCCCGAGTTTGCAGGACGGGGTACGCGTGCCTTGCCCTTTTCGGGGCATTGTGCAGTCATATGAGTGACGCCGTTGCACCAGAGGCAGTATCCGTACTTTTGACGAAGGTCATAGACATCCTTGGTTATCTTGTAAGCCGTCCATGGCTGCTGCCCAGTTCCCGTCGCTGCCGTCTCTTGTGTCGCCTTGTTCTTACGAACTCTCTTGGGACGCTTCGGCGGGAGCGCTGCTACAATTCCTCCATCACTCGAGGATGCTGCTACAGCGTGGAGATCGTCTGTTTCTTTAGAAATCACGACATTGTTATGTGTCGGACGTTGATAGCCCTGCTTAGCCACATAATGTGGCTGGGATTGTCTCTCGTTAGCGGCCTTGTCGTTCGTTTGGATGACCAAGTTCACTCGATCCAGAATGGCCTGGAATGTGGTATAGTCGTACTCATTACCGAGTGCCGACCGCAATCCCGCGCATGATCGCGAGAAGAACTCGGATCGTTGATTTGGAAACGTCAAGTCGAAGCCTGGTGTGGTCACTATCTTTTGCCACTTCGTTGTCCAGTCTCGAGTTGGCATGTTCCCCTGAGAGCATGTGTACACCTCATTCATGGCCGCCTTCACGACGTTNAGTTCGGCGATGGTGCACTTGTGGGTGGCCGCCAGGTGGTTCATCCATGCCTGCGCTCCTCCAATCAGTTGCAAATAGAGTGCCTTCAACATGTCGTTTGCTGGGACAGTGCGGCATGACGCTTCCGTGAGGAAACGTTGCCACCATGTCAAAGCGTCCGACTTGTTGTAGTCGTCGAACTTGCAGATGTCGAAGTGCGGCATCTTGAACGTCTTTGTAGCGGCGTTCGGTCTCATCTGTAGCTTGGTGATGTCCGTCTTGATGGCGGCCACCGTGCTGCTGATCGTGTCCGGTCCGTTGAAAACACCTATGTCGCCGATGATGGTGACGACGTGATCGATGTGTTCGTTGATTTGCTTCGTCGCGTCCGTCGTGCAGCCTGGCGCTGCTGAGGCCTTGGCCTCAATGCCGTTGATGCGTGCRATGGTAGAGTTCATCAGCTGTTGCTGTTGCTGCTGCTGTATTGCTGCGTCGCAGACGCCGGCCGCTACAGCGGTCAGGTCTTGCTGGTACTGTTGTCTTTGCTGTCGTTCCGCGTGCAGGTGTGCCTGCAGTAGTTTGTTGTTCCACATTACTCCCCTCATTACGTTCAACATCACGGTAGCCAGGTTACTTCTCTCTGCCTCCGCCTGTGTCGGCTCCGCCTGCGTTTCCGTAGGCACAAAGATCATGCTTTGGAGTGTCGTTGTCCACTGATGCTCACTAGCAATCAGGGACTCCGTGCTGGCGGCATTCCGTCTGTTTCGTGCCGCTTCGTCAGTCTCAGCTGTCCGCTGAGCTTCGGCTGCCGCCTCATTGGCCAGCCGCTGACGTTCTGCCTCTGCAGCAGCCTGCTGAGTCTCGGCGGCGGCTACGGCGTCTGTAAATGCCTGTAGCCGCCCACGATAGTCAGCCAAAGGCTCGCTGGCCTCTCGGACCGGGCATGCGGGAAGATCTCCGGTGGTGTCTTGTACTGTCAATGCCGTACTTGATGCCGCTGGAGTCGTCCGTCTGCTGAATCTCTTGGGTCTTGGAGGTACCGCAGGGCGGGCACGAACTGCGAGCCTGGCACTGCGCCGTGGCAGTGCCCCGGTGTCCTGTTCCATCGACATCAGTCTGAACTGATGCGGTACTAGAGAGGTGCCGGTGTTCACAAAATACAGGGGGGTAGGGAGAGTGGGAACAGGGGTAGAACAATCAAACAATACGCATACAGTCCCCTGTCCCACTGACACCTAATCAAACAGAAAAAAATAAATTCCCCGTAAACCCTTCAAAAAATCCGTAATAAGGAATTAATGACGATTTAATCAATAAAATTAATTATGATAATTAACGAAATAAATCCGAATGATGATCAGTAAAACAATGTTTGTAATAAAGATAACCAATAATCATTATTTGCAATAAAGATAATCAATAACAATAATTGCAATCATGCTAATAAACGAATTTGAAAGGTATTATGATTAGGTCTGTTTGAGATCACTTTGAGTCCGGGAGTTTACCGTTAATGAGTGAACTACCCGGAAGTTGCAGTTTGAGGGTCAGATACGGCTTAGTGTGCTAAAAAAAATTTCGGA